GGGCCAATGGGGCGGGGGGGACATCTGTAATACTTTCAACAATAAAAATAAATTTTTTTAAACTAAAAATAAAGTGAATGTACAATCTGATCACTGAAAACTCAACCTGGAAGAAACGTCAGGCAGCTGCCGATGTTACGGTAGACGAGCCATCTCATGGGAATGTGTAGCTCTGTCTCTGGTACTAGGAATGTTTCGGGGGGAAAATGAGAGACTTCTTTAACCCAAAAGAAAGTACGAGTAATAGAGGTATCTCCAGCAGACTGATGCTGATGGGACAACAGGACTATCAAAAGTCTCAAGAGCAATGGTCCTCAATTCGGCCTCCATAGTTATTTGGCTTCGGAATGTGAGTCCATGGAAATCCCAACACACTTAAAAAGTAACAATTGGAATTATAGAAATCCATAGAGAGATCACTATACTGATTTTAAAGTAAAAATTAGCAATGATTGATTAATTTTTTAAAAAGAGACATTAGGCAGCCATAACCAAATCCTTCCAACTGCATTAAATTGCAATTAAAATACATTATCTGGAAATCAAGAAATATCTAATGCAATTTAGATTGTAAATGGGGCTGCTGTACATTACCACCACAATTTTTATTACTACTAATAAATGTATGACTGAAAATAAAATATTATCACAACACTAAACAGAAGCTAACATTTATTGAATACAATATGGTAAGTGCAAATCAATTGGCACACATTATCTCATTCTATCATAACCACAAAAGGGGCTGGAATTCTAAATGTAAGTTACTATTAGTCATATATTTGTAAGTTACCTTAGTGATATATTTTATTATCTATCAAAGAGGTTTAGGATTTTTGTTATTCCTGTTCTTACTAAGAAATGCAGTCCTCCCATCCCCAACACACACTGTTTGAAAACAGTTTTGGCTCTACTGGCCGAGTAGCTTACAAGACATCCGCGGCTCCCTCGCAACCACTTTTCCCATGAACTGCACTATCCCCTGTGATGTCAGCGCACGAAGGAGCAGGAGAACATCTTAACCAGTGTCCTTGTCACGTGTGAAGGAAATGCGTGGGTTGTTTCAGAGAACACCACAAATATTTAAAGCAGCTAATTGAGACTCTGGGAATGGAGAGACCCTCACGTATACGCAACTACACACATAAACAAATGCAGCTCTGTCTCCAAGCAGACTTGTGTGGGTATTTTTCAGCACACACTCAACAACAGACTGATGCTCCTGATATTCTTCCCACGTGAGAGTCCACAGCCGCAGCTAGAGTCACCCATGGATGATGTTGCCATAGGCGCAGGCCACAGACAGCATGGTGGAATTAGCAGCTCTTTATTTTTTCCAGCTATTATGTGGTGGACAAGACCATACTCTGGTGGGTTGTGTATTATTACCATCTTACTAGTTCAAAA